CTCATGCTCTCTTATGTGGCGTGGTTGGCTGCAAACCATGACACATCACTTTTGTGGAGCAGTTTTTACTCACAGTAACTATGATAACTTCCTCTATTTTTGACTCTCTAGTTCTCTTAAAGGTCAGCACTGTCCAAATGGTTTGCAGTTTGGACAAGGGCACAAATGTGTGTGCCAGACTTCACCAAAGTTAAATTTCTATCTGACAGCACTGCACAAATTTATTTTGCTGCCACAAGTGCTGCTAGCAAATCTACTAGTTGTAGAAATCGCATTGAAATTCATTGATTTTGGTTTTATAAATGCTGGCGTGACCGAGCCCTTGGACTGAACTCTATGAGAAAGCGGCAAATAGAATAACTTTCTGTTCATTTTAGCAACCTCTCAAAGTTTACCATTCACACATCTTTCTGTTAACATTTCCTCTCAAGCATCGTTCCTTTTTGCTTTTCTTTATCCATCTGCTACATCTGGATCTGCTCTCACAGATCTTCAGGGAAAACCATGCATTCATCCTTTCCTTGCTCTGTTCTCTCCATATCTTGCTATTTTTCTTCTCTCTCTCTGAGAAAGCCTGACCCATACAGTCTCTAAAGCTCTGTCAGCTCACTTGCAGCTTAAAACAGCTCTTTTCAGTAGGGTGCCTCTTCACAGAACACATGATCTCCTAGAGATGTTATTAGCATGATCCTTACAGAATGTATGATGGGTATGATACTTAACTATATGCTTTACTCAAAGACATGTGGGGGTTATCCTGCAACTTCATGGTATGCTGAAATGTATAAAAGTAAAATATTATATACTAGCTATATGGAAGGAATACATGCAACTGTTATTAAACTTTTCCCCCTCTGTTAAGCTGACAGAAATCCCCTATAGGGTGTTTGCAGAGCTGAAGTCAGTGTTCTGTTAATAGGATCTAATTGGAAATGGCTGGTGTTAAGGAAGTTGCTTGGGTTGTCTGAATCTAATCCTGCGGAAATCCCCAAGAAGTTAATAAGAATCTATGGGCTATGTCCTAAATGTAGGACAGTGGTTTGCAAACGGAACTAAGCCTTCAGATTCTTTGGGTTTAGCAGATGCCCCAAAGTTGAGAATACAGTATACAATGCTTTTTACAAAGGTTCTGCAATGAAAAACACCTCTTGTTGAGGTTTATGTCTAGTTCATCACAACGTCAGTCATTTGTCAAATACAGCTGTGAATTAAAATGATCTTCTCATTTCAGCTCGAACTTGAAAGTTATGACGAGTTTTTGTGGTCGAGGGCTAGACACAAGCTTTTTCATGTATAAGGTCAACATTATTCCTGTTTGGTGTCAGATTAATGTAGCTCTGACATTTCATCACCATGGGCTTAAAATGTGATGTTTAAAAAGGAGAAATCGGATCAAATAAGTAACATGAGTGGAAATTAAAATGCATTTTGGAATCAGCGATGGCTGTTGTAAACTATGTGATGCCAAACTCATCATAAAAGCCTTTTCTCTTATAGGGTTAAAAGTGGAAACGTAAACTTTGAACATATGCAAACAAGTATGTAAGCTAAGCAGCCAAAGAACAGGTTATGTTATGTGCAATGAATAACATATGAATTTACATTTTTCCTTATCATACTCATAGGGCTAACTAGCTCACTGCAATACAAGAAATGACTTCTATATAGATCATCAACATTGCTGACTTCTTGCCTGGGACATTTTAGCACAATAATACAAGAAGTGTTTGCAACCAACTAATGGAGTTAATGTTTGCATAATTTGTTGACATTTCATTCAACTCAGCAGCCATTGGCTAGAAATGGGTAGCCTGCTTTTGTCTACCTCTATCTGAAATGAAGGACCCATTTTTGAAAAATTATTATGAATTTTAATATTATATCTGCCACTCTTATCACTGTAAACTGCATGTGTGACCTGCGAGAACAGAAAGGTTAACAGGTGTAGCAACAGTAACTTAGGAGGGTGGGTGTAGCAAACTATACATTTATTCAACATTTATTCTCATCCGCTATATAGTTCAATAGAGCTATTAAAGTTAAGCAGGGCTGCTGTGAATTGCTGTGCAGCAGCTGCTGTCTCTGTGGTCTCTCGTTGTTTCCTGATTGCAGTGGTCAGGCCAAACCTGTCCTCTTCTGGCCTGGTATGAACTGGCCTTGCTGTTCAGCCCTGTGGGAAATCCTTCGCGCATGTCTGGCCCCAATTAATGCCCCTACTGCAGTCTCTTGTTAGAGAGGGAGATGGAGAGAGGAAGTGAGAGGGAGGGAGAGAGAGAGAGCGCTGGTAGAGAAGGGGACTATCAAATATTGATTGTATTTGCATAAATAGCCGCAGTTGTTAAAAGCCCATGATCCCGCTTGCTAGCTTTGCACTCTCCGGGCATGCGTAGGGCGAAAAAATAAAGAGAGGCTGAATGAGGAAGAAAAGTGGTGATTAGAGTCAAGAGAATGCATGGATCTCCCGCAATGCGACGTAGCATAGGCCTCTCAATCAAGCCATCCCAAAGGCTATGCCACTACTAGTTCACTTTGTAATTTGCACCAATTATTGCCCTATTAGTGAGCCCATTGTGGTAAAGCAGACAGAAGATAATGATGCCTTTTTGTTGAGTTGGTCATCAATACAATAGGTTGAACAAAGCACCTGAGGAGGTAAAGCAGTCACTCTTTAGTCGTACTCTGTATATCAGTGGTGGCACTTAATAAAGGTTGCCTTGAAATAGAGGGGCAACAAACAGAAAATAATTGCTTTTCTCCTCTCTTGTCTCGGTCCTCTTCACCCCAGCTGCTCTTCAGTTTGCATCCCATCAAGCTCTGCGGTCTGGGCCTCGGGACCCTCAGTGAGGTGACCGTTGGTGACAAGTGGCTGGACTACATATGATACTAAAAGTTAGTGTGGAAGTATAGAGAAAAAAAAACGTTGCAACTTTGTGTGTGTGAAGTACATGCATTTCAGGAAATGTCTATGAGGATACTGAGGATTTACCATTAACTACGCTGTAGCCCTCACTGCATTTTTAGAGGTTATGCAGAGGAGAACTTTGAGTCCCACAGTTGTTGCCAAAGAACAGAGTGTTCAAATAAATTTGCTCTTCCAGCAATGCTGAAAAAAAAAAACAAGAGCAAGGATAAACTCACAGAAAAGCCAAGTAACAGAACAAGATTTCTAGGCACTCACTGGTAAACAAAAAGCCCGGAAAATTATGAGATTCCTCAGTCTTGTATTTTCAGAAAAGTAGTCCAAACAGCCTGTCATACCATATAACTATAAAGCCTTGTGTAACTCAAAGCATTATAGGATATTAAATATTATGTGATACTGTAAGACAGCCATGCTGTAGGCCTATGTACAGCTAGGTTTTAGACAGTTTATTCAAAAACATATGTTTTGGTGCATTTGCATTTGTTTAGGTGCCTAAATGTACAGTAATATTCCAACGTTTCAGTAATGCAAATCACTTTTTCCATATTTATTAGAAAAGCTTGTACTAGATAGCAAGAACATTTTATGTATGATGTCTCAGTTATTAACAATTGATTGATACTCTCCATTGCAGCCCCAAGTTGTGAATTTGAATTTTGGATCCATTATATCCCAGTACCAATGCAATTCTAACACCACAGAGTATTATACACACATACTTCACAGAAACTAAAGACAATTTCCAGTCTGGTATTGATTATGGAGCAAGTGAATGAATTTACATTGACTATGTCTGGTTATATGCTGGGGGGTTTTAGCTGCAAGAAATGCTGAGTTGAAGTCATTCATTTGCACTCATTCAAACACACTATTTGTGAATTGTGTTTTTCATCAGTTAGCTGGAAACTGGCGGGCAGATGAAGCCACAAGCGGGTGTTTTTTTTTTTATGAACTCAAACACTCATTGTGACTGCCTTCAGTGTGTATGCCTATGTGTGCACCACATATATGTGCAATCAACACACATGTGAGAGAGTGTTTGTCCACGTGTGTGTTTGTGTAGGAGTTTAACTGCATATTTTGTGTATGCAAGAGCTAGCAGAGCTGATCAGTGTCCATGCTGAGGGCTTTGTCACAGCTGACCTATATTAGATGAAAGCAGCTGGATCAGTGGCCTGCAGGGACAGCAAAAGAGTTGTGTTCTAATTATCTCTGCAGCTAGCTAGCGACACATCACACCCGCGCATGCACCCACATACACACTTCTCGACAAATCAATGGGAGCTCGCGAGAGCATCTGCCATGCTCTGCTTGACGAACGACAGCGGCAGATCCTCCGTGTAGGATTGGCAAGGATACAGCGCCTCATGTCACACAATGCATATTAAAACCCCTCTGTGATCACTGACTATGCCCTTCGGTCTCTGAACGCGACTGTGCTTGACACGTCTCTATTTTGCTTTGTGAAATATAATTACCAGGTGATACACTGCTAAAATGAAATCAGGCTCTTGTTGTGGCATTGGGGAATTGTAGGAATGCATCCAGTAATCTTGTAGATGGATTCAAACAGTGCAAATGTAGTCTGCAGAGTATATTGGCTGCTGTTGCCATGGAGCCTCAAACTAACACATGCTGAGAGTGTGCGTTAGCTATAATGAGGCACAATATGACAGAACGAAAAAGGCCCAGGGAGCTAATGCTAACGGCTAATAGTAATCACTGGACTAATGCTAATGGAAGGGTAATAAAGTGTGCGGAATCCTGTGGCATCCTCTGTTAGCTTTGTAGCATTTAGCATTCAGCTCACTCAGATACAGCAAGGAGGAAAACACAAATGTTCTTTCTCTTCTCTTATTATCTCCATTGGCATGAACACAGGTACAAACACACACACACACACACACACACACACACACACACACACAAAAAAAACGCTCTTACATCAGGTGACACACTGTTATTTTTGTGTAAGCCTCAGTGGGTTTTTTTCCTTCTCTGAAGTGATTTCACACATTCTGCTACCTTTAGGAGGTAATTGGATGCAGCACACACTCAATTAAGCTGTTAGCCTCTTAGTCATTCCCCCCTCTTTCGCTCTCTTTCTTCTGCCTCTCTTTCTTTCCGTCCCTCACTTTCTATTGCAAATCTTTCTCTCTCCACCTCTCGCTCTCCTCCTCCCTGTCATCCCTCTATTTGTGGGTCCAGGCAGGGCCTAGTGCTCCAGGCAGGGGAGCTGTAGCGTCAGCCAGGCAGTCAGAGGATCTTCTTGTTTTGGGACCAAGGAGGCACAGCCAGACATTTTCCACCACACTGCATCTTCAGGCACCGCCAGAGATTATTTCACAGGTCGGAGCTTATGGGGAGGGGTGCTTTTCCCATGACAGAGGGAGGGACGTACTGTAGAGAAATGAAAGCGAGGCAGAGTTAAACGCTTCCTGCCAGGTACGGAGTGTTTGCACAAAATCAGCTCATCTGAGCTTTTTCTTGGAGTTGCAGCTTCCCTGATGTTTTTCTTGTCTCCTTTGTCTCTTCCTCTCTGCAGAGTGATTGAGAGCGAGTTTATTCAGCCGGCCGTTTCTACCTGAAGACATGGAGCACCGTTTCCTGATGAGACTTTGGTGAGTAGAGAGTATGCATGTACACACACACACACACACACACACACACACACACACAGACTACAGTAATTCCTGCAGCGACTTGTCACCTGCACCCTCACATATAAATCCCACTTGTGTCGTGTGCGTCTTTGAAATCCATCCCATGGAGGAGAGCGTAAGAGTTCCCAGTGGAACCTCTCAAGGATTAACCCACGTCAGTGAAGCAGCTCTAAGAAAGCAGGGATCAGAAGCATGCCACTCACTCTGTTCTCTCTCTCCACCGCCTCTAGTGTCTTTAGTTTGATCTCACGTGTGAAGCACTATTGATTGAGTTACGCTCTGTAGATGTTTTGCTTTTGAAGCAGCAATCCACATTCACGGCCGAACGCTACATACAGTTTGAGCTCTACGTACCATGCGTGGACTGGGAACATCGATCATACCTTTTGATAAACTGACAGATGGAGGGAGTGATACTGTATAGAAAGAGAGGAGAGAAAGATGTCAGACAAGTGCTGGCTGGCACAGTAGTAAAGTAAAAAATAGCAGGCAGGGCCGACCGATTGTGCTGGCCCGAGGTTGTACTGCTATTCTTAGCCTCAGTCTCCTCCTTTCCTCACTCTCTTCTCCCTCTCCCCTCCCTCCTTTCTCTTGAGTCTTCTGTTACTGCTGTGACGCCAGCGCTCTTCAGTCCATCTGGTGTCTGGAAGCACTCTGGATCTCTGTACTCTTCCACTGTAATTGTCTAAAACCAGTTATCTGTCTGTCTTCCATCTACCTCCCATCCATTTGTCATTTTATTTTTTTACCTTTCCCATTCACCTATTCATCAATCACCACCTCAGCAGATACAGTCATGCATCTCTCTTTTTTGTCCAGAGTTGTATTAACCAGTCAATATAGAGCTCTGAGGCTTCCACTTATGTATAGCTAGGGTACGGGCCACTTAGAGACAAAGTGCCCTGTGTGTGTGTGAAGGTGTGTGTGTGTGTGTGTGTGTGTGTGTGTGTGTGTGTGTGTGTGTGTGTTTTCTCTGATGGACAGGATTGGTTGTAATATTCTATACAAGTGAAATCACAGATGCATCAAAATATCGTTGTAAGAACCGGAAACCCTCTGCATTCAGCCCTAACATGGCTTTGTACTGTTGCTACGGTGATATGCTGATATGCCATACTGGTCAGTGTGAGTGCAGGGTAATTTATAGCTGACAGGTGTGTGTGTGTGTGTGTGTGTGTGTGTGTGTGTGTGTGTGTGTGTGTGTGTGTGTGTGTGTGTGTGTGTATGTGTGTATGTGTGTGTGTGTGTGTGTGTGTGTTATGTAACGGTTAGTGATAACACATGAGGAGGGGTCCCAATATAAGAAAATAATAGACAAAGTGGATGTGATGAATGAAGAAGTTTCCTGCTGCTGTGTTCATCCGTTTCTATGTAAGACATTTGTGTGTGAATCATCCTGCTTATACCATAGTCATCTAGATTGTATTCAGTTGAACTTGTGGTTTGGAAGTATTGTTGCTATGGTTACAGTGTAATAGCCTATACCTTACAAAAAAAAATACATCTGCAGGGTTGTGGAATGATGAATGGGCTTGGAAAGAAGAAAAGACTAAGTTCTGCTACATGAATTTGTTTTTATCTTTTGGACTGGGAGGTGAAAAGTAACAATGTCAAATAAATATAATGGAGTAAAAAGCACAGTAAATTGTAAAATTAATGATTGGCTGAATTCTGTTTAGCTGCTTCAGTTTCAGGGTCGTACTATTGTGCATGCTGATTCACTTACACACTGTCATGGCTTAAAAAAGGCTCATTTGGGTGAAACTATCACAAATTGGGAAACAAAACAAGTGTTTTTGTAGTCTGGTACAAATTTGCACGATCCCAGTGAACATGATCTTTGGATGACCTGTAAGTCTCAGTGCAGCTTTGAGTGAAAACATGTGTGAGTGTGCAGAGCTTTTAATGTTCTGCGGACATGATATACATGATATACATCAATGTTACCCAACACACAGGAATTCACCAGTATATTATTCTTGAAGTTTGTGAATGAACATTTCTTTTCAGCTGAAGGACATGTGAACTTATATTGACTACTAGTGAGAAATATTGACTTTACTGAGGTGAAACACAAAACTCAGCAAAGAATAACTATGCATACTGTACAGACAGGTAACGAATTAAAGGAATAACCAACATGTTCTAATGGATTGAGATCTGTTGACTGCAAAGCCATAGAATATTAGATTATTACCATTCACATTTAACCCGAAAAGTAAAGAGAATACAGGTATTTTTTTTTTTTAAATTATTTAAATTTATTTTTTTTTTTTTTTTTTTTTTTTTTTTTTTTTATTTTTCTTTTTTTTTTTTATTTTTTTATTTTTTTTTTTTTTTGTGTTTTTTTTTTTTTTATTTATTTTTTTCTCCCCTCTCCCTTTTTTTTTTTTTTTTTTTTTTTATTGGGGGGGGGGGGGGGTTTGTTTGGGGGGGGGGTTGTTTTTTTTTTTTTTTTTTTTGTGTTTTTTTTTTTTTATTTTTTTGTGTGTATTTTTTTCTGGGGGTTTTTGTCTTTTTCCCTAGGTGTCAGCATATGGTTTCTGGGAGAGGAAAACTTCAAACAGCAGCTTTTTTTGTAGCAGTGAAGGACAGCGTCTCATTAGGAAGCACATTAGGATGTGTGTAGTTTGGTTTGTGTAGCTGTGAAAAAGCAGACGGAACAGAGCCTGCAGGAGAACAGGTTATCAATTGTGTTTCTTGATTATCTGCAGTGCAGCTTATCGGCAGCAGATAAGAGAATTAGGCTGAGCATCATTTTCTCTGTTGCAGTCTTGCATGCAAACCCATTTCTCAACAGCTTAATACGGAAATAATACTATTTGATAGTTTTACATTGCAGTCAGGAGTACAAAATAAACTTTACTTTTGTTACTATTCCTACAGGAATGTAGTTTTCCAGATAAAGAGAAAGGTATTTACTCTCCTGCTTCTTCACTGAGCTGCACAAACAGAGGGTCATCTGTCACTGTCAAAAGCTGTAGCTCCTGCTTTGTACTACTGACAGGAAAATGGACACAATAAAAAAATTGATAACAAAAAAGCATGTAATAAATATGTCCAGTGTTTTGTGCCACAAGGCGACTGTCGGTATTTTAAAACCTATTTGTGTTGTTGTCAAGTTCAGAGAAAACAGCTTGAGCTCAGCCAGCGGCTAGATTCAGTCGGGAAATGCTGCAAAAAGATTTTTAAAAGAATCCTATAAATGATTAAAATGATAAATAGAATTGTCCCAAAACTTTCTTACTCGTCTGATTTTTGATGAGAAGATGGAATCAGTTATTATGCGTGGAGAAACCAACATTAAGCAAGTATTATTAGTTTGGAATTGACTGTGATATAGTATTCCTTCTCATTGTCTGTTTCTTTGCATCTCTGCCTCTCTATCTGTCCATCTTTCCTTTTGTCTCCAATTTTCTTGGTCTCTTTCTCTCTCTCTCTCTCTCTCTCTCTCTCTCTCTCTCTCTCTCTCTCTCTCTGTTTCTCTGTCTCTCTGTCTCTCTGTCTCCCCCCTCACTCCAGATGATTTATGGATATCTTTTATCAATGTTGAAAGCAGGGCTCATCTGTTCTGAACTACTCAAGTCCCATATCATACATTGGAAGAAAAAGGAGAGATTGAAGTGCAGGGATTCCAGCCGTGTGTGTGTGTGTGTGTGTGTGTGTGTGTGTGTGTGTGTGTGTGTGTGAGAGAGAGAGAGAGAGAGAGAGAGAGAGAGAGAGAGAGAAGGGGAAAAGAGAGGCAGAGTGAGGCAGTGACTGTCTCAGCCTTCACATGATTTAATCAAAGCCATCCATCACATCTGGATAATTAGACAGCAGCATGGATCGCATGACCAGCACCCATCGGTTAGAACACACACACACACACACACACACACACACACACACACACACACACACACACACAATCGCATTCACACCCATATTTCTACACAAATATGCCTGAGTCGGACAAAAGGAGAGGAGGATCCCAACACAGACTGAGGTCCAACACTGTGCACTCAGGACTGTCACAGCTAAAACATGTTGGCACAAAATTTAGACATAATCAGTCAGCGACAGAGTTGGGAGCAGTTGTAGCCAGTCAGCCTAAGTCGGTCTCTGTCGGTGGGGTTTCCTGTGCTTGATGACCAATTAAAAGTGTAGAATTAGTGCTGGCAGTCAGAGAGCTCTGCGCAAAAGTCAGCTAATGACCAGAACACAGACCCTCACTGCAGAAAATGTCAACAAAAAGTCATCGAGTGTCAAGTGAAGTAGTCCTAAAAGAAGTGGAAAAAAACAGATATATTAACATTCCATTTTTTAACCACTCTTGGCTCTTTATATGGCAATGTCAGTCTGTCGGTCAGCCAGTTGGTGTACCACTTTGATCCAATTAATCATCTCAACATCTACTCTATGGATTGGTGCAGAGTGACACCCAGTCTATGTATCCTAAAGGTTTGAATTCTAGTGCCACCATGAGGTTCATATTTGTGATTTTCAGTGAAATGTCTCATAAATGATTAACTATAAACTATGGGATGGATTGTTTTTCACCCAGGCTCGAAATGCAAGTCTTAGCATCCTGAAGTTAGCATTACCGGTGTACCTAAGTACAGTCTCACAGAGCCACTATCAGGGCTGTAGACTCATAGTCTTGTACTACTGGAGTTTTTAATTTGACTGACATTTGGCTTGGCAAAATTAAATAACTCTGTAGAAAAGATAAAATTGTTAAACTGTTCTTTCAGTGATGCTTCAATGTACATCAGGCAAACTGAGGTGAGATGTTGGTCCTAATTTGATATCTCGGTCAGGCCCGTCGTTGCTGATATGTGGCCTGACACCTCTGACTCACTGAGATTCAAAACTTTCCTTCATTACTTTCTGTCTTGTGCTGATATTCCAAATATGAATGCAATGCCAAGTGTTGTAAAAGTACCTTCATTTAATTTCATTCACACACTGTACTT